AAAAAAAAAAGTAGAATATTGTCCTTCTAGTAAGGAAGGTTTCAGTTGTGAGAACAAGATTTGGGTGCATTACTCTGACCTTCGCACATGAGTTTCAGCCAGACACATTTCTCAAAATGAGCATCTGTGAGGTGAACTCTTCACAGCCTTCACTGCTGATAACCTGCGTTCAGCATAATCAAAGGTGCAAGTCTCCCACACTTTCCTGCTGTACTTCCTGGACGCCATGATGTGAGCTTCTTTCCCTCCGCCATGCCCCTTGACCATCCTGTTTCTGCTTTACAGCCTGCTGATCATGGGCTGAACTAACTCATGATCCAAAACGAACTTCTCCTCCTTTACATTGTGGGCATTGGGTATTATTTCTCAGCGATGGGAAAATGACTGAGACCGTAATTATAAAGTGATGCTACTTTTCATCATTTCTTCCTTTCTTATATACCTGCTTGCAGCTGTAAAGCCCTAGTTGGTGTCACGGTCTTGGAATTACCACCTTCCAGAACCATAAGCCAAATAAACTTCTTTCCTGTGTAAATTAGCCAGGCTCAGGCATTCTGTTATAGCAACAGGGAACAGACGAAGGATGTACATTGTATCACAATTTGCAAAAAAGAATCTGAAGTCCTCCATCATTAAACATCCTGGTATTTGCAGTATTCTGTTGAATGCTGACAGCAGTAGTCTAGATAAATTCTCCCATTGTACTCATTTTACAGATGAGAAAACTATGACAAAGGGGTGACGTGGTAGGCCTGAGTTTACCCAGCTACTAGAAGGGGCGGAATTCAATGCAGGACAACTGACTCAAGGTCCTGCTGTCTCCCCACTGCCGCCCTGGGGCCCTGGCTACGGAGGAAGTTGTCCTTTCTCTTCTACTTTCCACAGTTCTGCTCAAAGTCCCTGCCAAAGGACAGCAAACAGGATCCAGATGCTGGTTATGCATTGAGCGGGACAGGCTTTCCCTTGAAACTCCTCTGCCAGGGTTTTCAAATGCATCCCAGACATCTGCTCTGGACGTCTCCGGTGCCCTCCTGCTAGGGTAATGGGGGACAGAGGGGCCACCAAGCCCGGCCATAGGCCTGGATGATGACTGTGGGCTACAGCTTTGCCACCAGCACTCCTTTAAAGTCCCAGGTGTGTTACTGCAGGCCCCCGAAGGTGATAATCGTATTATCCCTACCTGGATTTCTTTCCTAGGACCGTCACAACCACAATCTGGGTGGTTTGAACAACAGAAATTTGTGGTCTCACAATTTTGGTGCCTAGAAGTCTGAAAATCAAGTCACCCGCAGGCTTAGTTCCTTCTGAGGGCTGGGAGAGAGAATCTGTTCCATGGCTCTTTGAGCTTCTGGTGGGAGTTCCTTGGCTTGCCCAAAACCGTCTTTTGTCCAGTGTCTTCGTACTCTCTTCCCTAGGCACGTCTGTCCTGATGTCCAAATACCCTTTTACATGAGGTGTGATCAAAACATACAGCAAATGCTTTAAAAAATTAGTACAGTAAAAAAAATATTGCCATATTTGCAAACATGCTAACCCTTGCCTCTTCCTGAAACAGTTCTGGAAATTCTTTTTCGTGTCTTTACGGATTGTGATTTTTTAAAAAAATATAAAGGATGCTGCTAAGTACCATCCAATGGAAAGTCCGGCTCGTAAGAATATTCTACTGTGTCCTCATCCACCTCATTCTTCCTGGCCACTCTGACATGAACAACTTTCCTCTCCCCAAGTCATTCCACCCTGCCTTCTTCCCTAGGAAGACTAACTGCAGGCTAAAAACATGATCCCAAATCAGCCTCTCCTTTAAGTTGTGGGTGTCTGATATTTTGTCCCACTGACCAGGAAGGCGACTAAGACACTGACCTTTTCTTGGGTCCAAGTTTCTCTTGCCCCAGGTCCCCTCTGTGTCTGCCCGGCCCCCAGGCCTCACCTGGAAGCTTCTACACCCACGAAGTCTCTACGCCAATCGGCCTCCGACTTCTCTTGCCAACCTGGGTTGTGGTGGCCCCAGGGCTGTCCCTGCCACAGGCGATGGCAGGGGTTAGAATGGTGGGTTCCCCCGCTGTCTGGACTGGGAGCTCAGCCAGGTTACCCGCCACTTTCATCTTGCTTACTGCTCCATGGTCACGGCACGGTTGGGATCCTGTGGTGTTTCGAGGAGGCGTGAGAGTCAGAGGTGGTTAGACCGTTCCTCCACTCCCACTCCTGAAAACCCTTCCTCCCTCAGATTCTTGGGCACACTTTTTTCTCACCTTTAAAATCTAAACTTCTGGAGCCAAACATACTGGGCAGCATAGCAAGTCTCTGTCTCAAAGAAAAAAACTTAAGCTCTGTTTAAACACACACACACACACACACACACACACACACACACATATATATATCTTTATTAAGCTTTAGTAAGGTAAAATTTATATATCAATATCCAGGCGTGGTGGCGCATGCCCTGTAATCCCAGCACTCAGGAAGCTGAGGCAGGAAGATCGCTGGGAGTTCGAGACCAGCCTGGGCTACATAGTGAGTTCCAGGTCAGTCTCAACTACACAGTGAGACCCTGTCTCAAAAAACAAAACAAAACAAAAACATTATGTATCAGTGGTAGTGAACCTATTGCACACACTGCCGCAGTAAACTGTTGGTATCGTTGAACGATTCAATGCTATTACATGGCATTAGTGGGTAGATAAACCACATTTTGTCTCTATTCACTTGTTGTGGGACATTTTGTTTCCTTCTGCTTTTCAGCTACTATGAATTGCTTCTATGACCATTCACACACAAGTTTCTGTGTGAATGTACATTTTCCTTTCTCTTGAGTATACACCTAGGAGGTGGTGAATTTATATTATTATTATTAACATTATATTTTTTGGTACCGGGAATTGAACTCGGGTCCTTGCACTTGCAAAGCAGGTGACAGAACCACTGAGCTAAATCCCCAGCCCAATGAATTAATTTTTAAAAATTAAAGTAGCTTATGTGGGCTGGGAATATAGCTCAACAGCACTGTGCCTGCCTGGCAAACACAAGGTCCTGAGTTCAGTCCCTGGGATGGGGTGGGGGGGATTGAACCCAGGGCCTTGTGCCTGCTCGGCAAGTGTTCTATCCCTGAGCTATACCCTCAGCCCCAAGGTATGTTATATTCTTAATTACAAAAATGACATATCAAAGATCACCAGAGTAACAAGTTGGAAACAAAAAAAATGTTGACACGCCCACAATGTGCACACAGATATCTGGGTGCAGTCCTGCGAGCATTCCCTCACCCGTGTGAACTCGCACGGGTGTGACCGGGCAGCTGTGTATGAGGAAACTGACACCTCCTAGCCTGTGCAGGAGGCAGCTCTCCGATCCTGCTTGGGACTGGGCCTGCATCAAATTTTAAAAGTTTCTGCAAAGCAAGGGAAACAACCAACAGAAGGAAGAGATAGCTTACAGCAGATGCGAAAATCATTGCAAACTACTCTTCCAAAAGAGGATTAGTATCTGGAACACAAAGTAAAAAAGAAAACCTTAACATCAAAAAATCAAACAGCCCAAGAAACAAACAGGCAAATGAGTCGAACAGACATTTCCCAAAAGAAACAGAAATGGCCAATGAGTAGGTGGAGAAACGTTTAACATCTCTAGTCCTTAGGGGAATGCAGATGAAATACACACTGAGTCTGTCTCACCCCAGGCAGAATGGCTACCGTGAAGAAGACATAAAACAGTAACTCCTGGTGAGGAAGTAGGGGAAAAGAATCTTTCTATACTCCTGTTGGACTGTAAATTAGCACAGCCCCTGTGGATGCCGGCGCGGATGGTCCTCAAAACACTAAAACTATGGTGCCTCCACGTGCCTTCCAAGCATGAGGACCCAAGTTCAATCCCCGGTACCAACAAAACAAAACAAAACAAAAAAACCCAAAAAACTAAAACTCCAGTTATCGTTCGATTCAGCTCTGTACAACTCCTTGGTATGTATCCAAAGGGATGGAAATCAGCATACAGTAGGGTTACCTCCATATCCATGATTATTGTGGCAGAATTCACAATAGCCAAGACATGAAACCAAACCTAAACGCCTATGAACAGTGAACAGTTAATTACAAAATGGAGTCTTGTTCAGCCATAAAGAACAACAAAACTTTGTTAGTTGCAGGAAAATTGATGGATATGGAGACAGTGTTGTGCAAAATACAGACATTTCTCATTTAATAACTGTGTTTCGTTCCTGCAACTAGGTCACTAAATGAATTGTATATAGTGTGCATATTACAATATTCAGCACAAAGAAATGGTCCAAGGAAACTCCGACCTGATGACTTCACTTTACTTGCGTAACTCTTACATGCAGTATTGTATAACAGAGCATAAAACCATAGTACTGTACTATACAATCGGCAAAAATTAAAGTACTGTGTAAACAAGGTGTGGTGTACAAAAAAAGACATCAAGGCTCTGTAAACAAGATATACAGCACTGTACAAAAAAAGTCCAAACAACACGCCTCTGTCCTAAGTCCACGAACAAGTGGACTGTTAAATGGGGCGTATCTGTAAGTCAGATCCAGAAAAATAAAAATCTCTGAAAAGGACCGGAAGGTAGAAGGGAAAAGGGGGAGGAGGAGGGAGGTGTAAGGGTGGATAAAAGGAGGGACATGATCAAAATATGTAATATACATTGAAACCCCCTGAAAATATGAAGTTAGGGGGAAAGGACCGGGCAGAGGCAACGATGGGGGTGTGCGTACATGTACAAATCTGCCAAAATGGAAACCATTAACCTGTGTAACCAGCATGTGCAAAAAAAAAAAGTGAAATAAACAAAGACTGTCTCTATCCGTTTTTATACTCAAAAGGCAGCCTTTAGAGTGGAAAGAAGAAAAATCCAATTCCTGCGTCGGTGTTAAACCACACCACCACCTAGTGGCGGGGCTTCCTAATTGCAGGCAGAGTGCTAAGAAACTCGGGACCTGTTCCCAGGGCCAGCTTCGCAAACCAAAGCAATGGGTGCTTCTATCTAGTCTTGGGTAAGTACAATACCCCTCCTATGGAACAGTTTGGAGATTCAGCACGGGCCCCAGAGAATGGCTGGTAGAAGGATTTCAGGCAACAGGTGGCAGCAAAGGGCTTTTAGGAAATTTCAGACTCTTTTCCACGATTCTCTTGGCCAAGACTGACCCTTTGCCTCAGCCCAAGCCTACTCAGATGTCTCGCTCTCCTTACAAGGTGTGACACGCTCTGTGTAATACACTCCGAATTCACAAGAGTACTCTCTCCTCAGCCCTATCTGAGCAAGCACCAGGCAAGCAACTCAACATGCCTAATTTAAATGTCCCTCGTTGCTAGCTCCCCTGAGACAAGTGTTATCTCCATTTTCCGGGTGATATCCCTGAGGCTCGGAAAGAAAAAGCAATTTGGCCAAGGTCACACTGTGGGGGAGACAGAGGTGTGATTAGAGCCTCGTGGCCAAGCGGGGCCCCTGTGACAGCCCGGTGCTGCTGGGGGGGGGGGTCCGAGGCAGTCAGCTGTAGCCCTGGGAACATCCCACCAAGGCCAGGCCCAGGCAGTGGAGGACCCAGTCAGGAGGGTAATGGGGAGAGTTCAGGGTGCTGCCCCTTTCTGGATCTGACCCTCCTGGATCCCTGCTCCAGCCAGAGTGTGAATCTGGCTCAGAGACTGCGGGTTGTGAATGGTTTACTGTCGTCCCTGGCCTGCCTCTCCACTGAGACAGACTCCTTGTCACTGTGGTCGGGATGTGCATGTATTTCAGAAATAAGGACTTAGAGGTGACACAGAAAGAAATGGACAGGAAGACAGTCAGTTTCACTTCATGTGGCTCCTTCTTGAGACATGGGGTGAGCCGGGGACCCTGGCACAAACAGGGAGGGGACACTAACTACCCTTAGGAGCTTCTCTTCTGGTCCCAGTCAGAAGGACAGCTCTTGAGTCATCTCTGTCCCTGTGATGCTCTCACTGCCTGTTTGTGCCCTGGAGGTGAAGATCTACACAGAGGCCTCACCCCAGCACTTAGGGGCCCTCCCAGACTGCTTGTAAGAGCTGCCAACCTGTAATACTAAGTGCTGCCTTGCAATCGCAAGGCAGGCAGTGGCACCACTGAGCTAAATCCCTGGCCTTCAGATAACAGTATCAATGTGGGTGCGGGGGCCCCGGAGCATTGGTTATAAAAACTTCGAGCATCCAGGGCTGGGGATTTAGCTCAGCGTTTAGGTAGCCTACCTTGCAAGCACAAGGACCCGAGTTCAATCCCCTGTACAAAAAAAAAAAAAAAACAAAAAAAAACCCTTTGAGTGTCTGATTCAGCTTATGAAATGCAGACATTACGTGGTCATTGACTTTAGCTTATGCACTGTATGAGGTGAGCTTCACTACCTGAGTTGTAGTAATTTTTTATTTGACCTTTTTTTTTTCTGACAGCAAAGAATATCCCAACCCTCTGTTAATAATGCCAAAATTACAACTCTTTTGTGGGAATGCCTTTGGCACAATTTCCGGCAACACCATAAACAAAGTAAAAAGCGGAACGTTACATCTATGGCTGGCCATTGAAACAGTGAGGGGCTACTCTTAGTAAACTTGTAGGAAGTGACCCAAGTTTGTAAGAACAAGCTTATTGCCCTGTTAGAGTCCTACATCTGAGGCAAGTAAGACACTGTCTTGCAGCTGTACAATTGTAGTAGGAGGGGGCTGCACCTACTACCCCAGTATCAAAACCAAAACAAAAAAAGCCCCACAATATTATTGTGTGACAGCGAGTTGTCCAGGGAGATTCACGGGAGGCTTTGGGCTCTGTCAGTCTCCTGTACTTTTGGCCATCACAGATTCAAGCTTCCCTGGCCTGCTCTGAAGCTGAGGACATTCCTTTTTCCAGTGACCTCCTTGTTTACAGAAAGCACACTGGTTCTTAAGGGGCTGATGACCCAAGGCTATAGCCTCGGGCAGGAGCCCAGGGTCCAGTCTCACCCAGGCACTATTACTCAGGTCACCACAATGCAGCTGGGAGCTTAAGGTCCCACCTAAGAGCTTACCTTTTGTTTGGTCCTCCAGCTCCCCACTGCCTCCTCGGCTGTGCAGCCGTGGGAGATCAGTATCTAAATGTCACCAAGGTCAGATTAAAAGTCAGGGTAGTCCTTTTAGCCGGTACAGCAGTTGGAAGCCGCAGAGAATCAACCAAACCTCTCTGCACGTGCACCTGTGTGGTGTTTCTTCCTCCCTCTGTCACCACCCAGAGCAGGCAGAGCTGGGGACCGGGTTGGTAGGGAACTCCGTACCTGGTGTTCTCAGGACCAGATCCCTCTGGCA